CTTTTTCTTACCCCAGTGCTATTATAGCCCCTTCTTACTTCTGTTTCATATTCCCATTTATCTTTCTTCTTCCTCTTGGGAGTGTGGGCAAACTCCTGTCAAAGCACCTGACACCTTATTTGTAAATCTTTCGAGTGTATTTCTACCTCTCTCGCAGGAGAAAGATGAGGCTTTCTACTCCCGTAAAGATTTACACCCTCGGAAACCCTGTACAGGGTCGCTATGGGTCGGAACTGACTTGATGGCACTTAACAACAACAACAACACTAGATCATGAGCTCCTCTGGGACAGGGACCGTGTCTTATTTTTGTAAACCTCAGTGTTTAGTGTAATACCTGGCCCAGAGTTTGACAGATGCCATTTCCTCTCCCACTGTCTGTATCTTTTGCCTTTAAGAGCTCTTTGTTAAGTTTTTTCTGTTGGTCTTTGTCTGTCTTAGTCCATCCCTGTCCCCTCACTTCAGCCCAGCCTGGGTATGGACCACCTTCCTCTGTCCCCACAGACTGTGTACAGTGCCCTGGGACTGAGGGATGCCTGCCGCTCCCTGCCTCAGTCCATCCAGCTTTTTCGAGACATTGCCCAGGAATTTTCTGATGATTTGCACCACATCGCCAGCCTCATTGGGAAAGTGGTGAGTGGAAGAAAAGAGGCAGAGCACATGGGGGGAAGGAGAGAGAAGTAGGGTTGAAGAATGGGGAGGGACTGAAGTCTGGGTGATGTGGGAAACGGGAAGTATGGGAGACTTTGAGGTCAGTTGAGTGACTATAGAATGGGAGGAGGTGGCAGGACATCAGGATGTGCCTAAAGGAGTAGGATTGAAGCCAGGACTGTGCAGGGAGTCTGGGGTCCAAGGGGGGGCTGAGGAATAGGACTGAGCAATGGTACTGGGGTGCAAAGCATCAGGACTTCTTCTCTTCCCAGGTGGATTTTGAGGGCAGCCTTGCTGAAAACCGCTTCACTGTGCTCCCCAACATAGATCCTGAAATTGACGAGAGTGAGTGTTGGGTGTACACATGGGCCTGTGAGCCCTGACAGGGGTTTACTCACTGATGGGGTATTGTGGACGGACATTCACCATAATTGGGGATCATCACAGCAAGCAGGCGGGAAGAGCGAGTCAGCCTCTCTTCTGTGTCTTCTACCCTCCTAGAAAAACGAAAGCTGATGGGACTTCCCAGTTTCCTCACAGAGGTCGCTCTGAAGGAGCTGGAGACTCTAGACGACCGCATTCCTTCGTGCAGTGTCATCTACATCCCTCTGGTGAGAGTAGGAGGCCAGGTGTGACCGCCAGGAGTCTTTTATGGGAGACTTTAGGTTTATGAGGGACACACTGGTAGATAAGAAAACGTCTGGGAGAATCTGAAGAACACCAACATCTTTTAGTGACTTTAGCATCCTGAGGGGGAAGCGGATCTCTGGACTTACTCTACGGAGAAAAGATGCAGTCAGTCACTTTCTGCATTGTCTATGTATTCTCCCCAGATTGGTTTCCTTCTTTCTATTCCCCGCCTGCCTTTCATGGTGGAGGCCAGTGACTTTGAGATTGAGGGCCTGGACTTCATGGTGAGACTCTTGACCTGTGTAAAAGGGTGGTAAGGAAAATGAATCAGGAACAGAGGGAGGCCTCACACTCGGCTGCCCAATATGTGATCTGTCGTCTGTAGTTTTACTTTGATTTTCATCAGCTTTGAGACATAGGAGAGAGAAGTTGGGTGGGAAGCTAGAGGTGGGGCTAAAATGTGGAAGAGTAGATGAGGACCAAGAGGAGCAGAGTCTACAACTTTGAACTCTTGTGTACAGTTTCTGTCAGAGGAGAAGCTGCACTATCGTAGTGCTCGAACCAAGGAGCTGGATGCTTTGCTGGGGGACCTCCACTGTGAAATCCGGGGTAAGGAAAAGCAAGAGGTTGGGGAGGTGGGAAGCAATTTAAGATTATTCTAATAGGCTCCTTCTCTTCCTGCTCTCCATCTCTCATGTGGACTCTGTATCTTCTCCTCTGAGTATCTATCAGGGTCTCAGACTATATCTGCAAGCCTGTTTCCAGATTCCTCTGTGGGTTTCTTTGTTGTTGCTTCACTTTCCCCTGATCCTAACCCACAGTTCCTTCCCTCACCTACTCCCAGACCAGGAGACCCTGTTGATGTACCAGCTGCAGTGCCAGGTGCTGACACGGGCAGCTGTGTTGACCCGGGTGTTGGACCTTGCCTCCCGCCTGGATGTCCTGCTAGCTTTTGCCAGTGCTGCCCGGGACTATGGCTACTCGAGGCCCCACTACTCCTCCAGACTCCTTGGAGTGCGAATCCAGAATGGCAGGTGAGAACAGAGTGGGTGGAGGCATAGGTACAAGGAACCCAAAGACCCCATTTTCTAAGGGGTTCATGTACCTGAGCCCACAGGCCTAGAATGTGGTGTCTCTCCACCCACTGTAGACATCCTCTGATGGAACTCTGTGCACGAACCTTTGTGCCCAACTCTGCAGAATGTGGTGGGGACAGTGGGAGGGTCAAAGTCATCACTGGACCCAACTCCTCAGGAAAAAGCATATACCTCAAACAGGTGAGGAGAATTCCTACAACTGAGGCCTCTGGCATCTTCTCTACTTTCTTCATCCCACCACCTGTTAGCCAACCAGGTATCTATTATTCTAATAGGCTCCTTCTCTTCCTGCTCTCCATCTCTCATGTGGACTCTGTATCTTCTCCTCTGAGTATCTATCAGGGTCTCAGACTATAT